TTTATCATATTAATATTATAAATTATTAACACAAATTTATATATTTAAATAAATATATAAACATAATATTATTTATTATTTATATTAATTATATATGTATATATTATTATTTTAAATAAATATAAATTATAAATTTATAAAAAAAATAACATTTTTAAAATAAAAAGAAAACAAAAAATCTTATTCAAAATTTGACTTCTTGGAGATTGAGCTGTAATAATAAAAAAAATTACTTTGATAAATAAAGAGTGGATGGTTTCTTTTTGATATTTTAAAAAAAAAATATTTTTTGTGTAAAAGTTTCACTATATCACATAGTTCTAGAAATAAAAAGTATATGTTAAATACACTCATATAGACTCGACTAGAGAAATAAAATCTTGTAAGGTTACTTTGTTAGATGAACCTAAAAGCCTGCTATATACCTATTTTTCCTGTGTGATATGATGTAATGAGCAAACACATCACTGCTTACGGTGCCATGGTTAGACACGACACAGCACATGCACAACCCTTGAAGCCATCGAAACTCTAATATAAAAGACAATTGAATTGACCATTCTCAAGAAAAATAAAAGAAACCACAACAAATGGTGAGCGTTCAATCTCGTTACACCGTGTTACCCTCCCAACCCACCCCGAACCAGAAACTCTTCTCCCTGTGCGAACAAATCAAGCTTCGCACTCACGCGCCTCTTCTCTACGTGTACAAGCCACGCCCCCATCACGATGCATCCACCATGGTTAACACCCTAAGGCACTCTCTTAGCCAAGCATTGACCATCTATTACCCACTCGCGGGTAGGTTGAGTTCGGTCGAAGGTGGAAGATGGGAGCTTCATTGCAATGCAAAAGGAGCACAACTCATGGAAGCCATTTGTAAAGATTTGAATTTGGATGATTTAGGTGATTTTGTGCCTGCTAAGTTGGTGTCACAACTCATACCCAACATTGATTATTACAACGTTCCAATTGAGGACACACCCTTGTTGGTTGTGCAACTTACGAGGTTCTCCTGTGGTGGGGTTACAATGGGGGTGGCTTTATGTCGTGGGGTAATCGATGGAACCGCAACCATGCGGTTCATGACCACGTGGGCTAAGTTGGCTAGGAAGGAAAATTTGAACCACGTGGAGATAAATCCATTGCATGATCGAAATTTGTTGAACTCGTACAAGCTTCATTCGGGGTTGTACGATCATTCGGAGTTTGAAACTCCTCCTCCTTGGTTAGGTCCATTAGGAGGTAGAGGTAGAGACACAGATTTTGTAGTCGAAATAGTGAAGCTCACGGATGAACAAGTGAAGAAGCTGAAGCACAAGGGGAATAATCATGATCACATGAAGAATTATAGTACTAGGCGAAGTTATTCGACATTTGAGGTGGTTGCGGGGTTCTTGTGGAGGTGTGTGAGTAAGGCACGCTACGCCGGGAATAGTGACCAACCTACGAGGTTGTCGACTTTGGTTAATTGTCGCAACCGAATGAAACCACCCCTGAATGGTTACGCAGGAAACGCAGCGTTTCCGACCGTGACGCTCACGTGTTCTTTTGGCGAAATCATGCAAAGGCCTTTGAGTTACGTAGCTGGGGAAGTTAGCGATGCGATTCAAAGGGTAACGGGGGAGTTTGTGGCGTCAGCGATTGATTACATTTCGAAGGTGAAAGACATGGATTTGGTGAGGTATAATTTCCACTACCCTGCGCCAAGTGTGTGTAGGGGATCCTACAAGGGAAACCCTAATCTTTTTGTTGTGAGTTGGATGAATTTCTCGTATAAGGATGCGGATTTTGGGTGGGGGAAGCCTTTGTATTTTGGGCCAGGGTTCATGGATTCCGAAGGGAAGGCTTTTGTCATGAATAAGGCTAGTGGGGATGGCATTGTTGTCGCTATTTCTTTGAAGGACTCTCACATGGAAGCTTTCAAGAGATTCTTCTATGGTGATATCGATGAGGAATTTCGTATTTCCAAATTGTGATCGAAATATGAAATTTTACGGGGATGCTTTCTTGCTTGCACTGTCTGCTTCGACTGAGTTGATTTTTCAAAATGGTAGACAAATTGATGTGTTCTACTTTTTTTATATTATTATTAATATTATTTTATTTATCAAGCTATATATCACTCTTTCCCACCATGG